ACTCTTAAAATGTAGTTGCCTTTATTTGTAGACTCTTACGAGTAATAGGGCCTTTTTCCTAAAAGGCGGTGAGCCCTCCAGGGTTACTCCGCATCAATAAATCATCTGCTTTCACTGATCCAATCGTTTTCCTCTCTTTGTTGTATTTTGATTATTTGTTTTAAGCTCCGTCTTAATGCTCCACTGCCAACCTGATGTAGGAAATAAAGAGAAGAGGTGTAAATTGCGAGCGAGATCCATAAATCTTTGGTCACGATGGCAGCCTTTAAAAACAAAAATTGACATAACAACTGTGTCACTAACTAAGGGGTTCACTTAACAACTGGGGAAGCAAGGTTTTTGTAAAAGGAGGCAAAACTCACTTAACAGCTGTCTTTGGGCTCCATGAGGGTCGTAAGTCGAGGGGTGCTTGTATTTTAACCTTGATCAAATAAGTCAACTGTGTATTCCTTCCCTTTGCCGAAGTTTGTGTAAGTTCTTTGCCGAAGTTTGTGTAAGGTCTTTGGGCTGATTTTGCACTACAAGTTGTCATCCAAAGAATTAGGTCAATCGGTTTAGATTAGGATCTGTTTTGGCCTGCTCCCTAGCATCTGAAGGAGGTGTGTGGGAACAACCTCCTGTTGTTTGCGGCTTGTGGGTAAAAACACTCCGAAACTGATGTGGTTTAGTAGTCCCAGGAGGTCAATCTTTTCCACGTTATCTAAAGATCTGCTGAAGTTGGTAGTTTCTCTTTTTGGTTTTCGCTCTCTTGCGGCCAGCAACTTTTCCAGTCTGAATCATGTTTCCACCCAATACGGGTTATCCTCCATTTTACAACCGTTCGTTTAGCGTCCGTTTGAAGCTACAGCACTACAGATAGTCCTCGGCCTTACAACCACAACTGAGCCCAACATTTCCCCTGTTAAGTGAGACGTTCATTCAGTCAATTTTACAAACCGTCTTGCCACCGTTGTTAAGTGAAACCCTGCAGCTGTTAACTTAGTCACACGTCATTAAGTGAATCCATATTCCCCCGTCCCTATTGACTTCGCTTGTTAGAAAGTCGCAAAAGGAGATCCTGGGATGCTGAGACCGTCATAAATGTGAACCACTTGCCAAGCACCTGAAGTTTGATCACATCATCGCGAGGATGCAGCCAATGTCATAACTGCGAAAAACCGTCTTAACCTAAATCCCTTTTTTTCAGTGCCGTTGAAACTTTGAATGGTCACTAAACTGAACTGTTGTAAGTCAAGGACTACCTATACTGCAAAAAGTGGTTTATGACCCTGTAGCCATCATTCATACAGGGCAGCTGCCAAGCGCCTGAATTTTGATCCCGTGAACACAGGGGTCTGCGAACGGTCGTAAGTGTGAAAAACGGTTCCAAGTCGCTTTTTTCGTAACTTTGAATGTTTGCTAAATGAACTGTCGTAAATCAAGGACACCCTGAAAGTCTGGATTTTGTTTTCCTCCAAGGAAATGCTCGCCTAATGAGCTGGCCTGCCGGAGAAACTCCCAAGATTGACAACAGGCTGAGTTCTCAAAGCAGAGAACTGACCCACTTTCTGATTCACATAATAAACCTGAATTGCAAGCCGCCATGAGAGATTCGCTCGTTTTGTCACCAAACAAACCAACAAACCAACCCTTCCACGTTCAGATTAGACCAAAACGCCCAAATGTTGGTCGCATGGGATGCTGCAACGGCCGTAAATCTGAAAACCAGCCATAAGTCACTTTTTTCCAGTACAGGTAGTCCTCGACTTACAGAGGTTCATTTAGCGACTGTTCAAAGTTACAAGGGCAGTGAAAAGAGCGACTTAGGTCCATTTTTCACACTTACGACCGTTGCAGATCACGTGACATTGGCACCATCCTCGTGATCAAAATTAAGAGGCTTGGTTCACATTTATGACGGTCATAGTGTCCCAAGGTCACATGATCCCCTTTTGCGACCCACAGCTAAGCAAAGTCAGTGGATAAGCCAGGTTCATTTAACAACCAGGTGACTAATTTAACAACTTGAAGGAGTTCACTTAAGGACCGAGGCAAGAATAGTCGTCAGATGGGGCAGATTTCAGTTAATTACTGTCTCGCTTAAATTTTGGGTTCACTCACTTGTGGTCATAAGTCAAGGACTATATACAAACAAGCCAGGAAGAAACTTGACACGCCACTGCCCTTTTAAATCCTCGGCGGATGTTTAATTGGCCATTTGTAAAAAAAAAAACAGGACCTGAGTCATTTTGGTAAGAATATCTTGTTTATTAAGAGAATTCTATGCCTTTTCCTTCCGACAGCAAAGTGTTAACAAATGACGTATTTTACGTTCCACAAGATGAAAACTCACTCTACAGCTAGGCAGCCTGTCAATCACGGCCTGGATCATGCCAGGTATAATTAAATAAATAATCTTGCAGCGAGGCCGAAGGCGGAGTTCAAAGCGTCCACATTTTGAGGAGGAAAAAAAACCAAAACAATAGTAACCTAAGTTTTCCCAAATTCAAAAACTCAAATTCTCCAATTCAGAAGAGCCAAATCCTCCCCCTCCTCCTCCTCCTCCTTCTTCTTTCCTTGGGAAAAACTTGATAGTGTCAATTCATAAATTGCTGGAATCCTGACAGATAGGCAGACAAAAAAATACCGAATCTGAACACCTGGCGGACAGTTCGAGAGATTGTAATAAAATGCTGCCTTTGGTTTGCATCCAAGAGCCTCTGTGGCGCAGTGGTTAGAGTGCATTACTGCAGGCTACTTCTGCTGACTGCCGGCTGCCTGCAATTTGGCAGTTCAAATCCCACCAGGCTCCAGGTTGACTCAGACTTCCGTCCTTCCGAGGTGGGTAAAAGGAGGATCCAGATCGTTGGGGGAACAAAAAGCGGACTCTGTAAAACCGCTTAGAGAGGGCTGGAAAGCACTGGAAAGCGGTATATAAGTTTAAGTGCTACTGCTATTGCTATTCTTCTTTAAAAGGTGAGGCCAGTTCAAGTAAAAGCGAATAAAAGGTGGGAAAAACCAAAAACGGAAATGTTCCTCCATGCCCGGAGGAAAAATAAATAAAACGTATCATAAATTGCAAGAATTGTGCTCGTCTTTTGCAATTTGGTGTTTGGATAAGGCTCCTGATGATTTATATATGTGTGTGTGTGTGTGTGTGTGTGTGTGTATACATACATATATATCTATATATCATACATATACATATATATCATATATATATGTATATATATTACATATACATATATACATATATTACATTACATATACATATATATATTATATATCTATATCTATCTATATATCTATATAT